GCACCTGATTTTTCATCTTCACTCCTGCTGTAATATTTGAAGATCATTTATATGGAGATTTAAGGTATATTTTTCTTTTGTGCACCGTTTTAAGCAATTGCAGGATGGAGAAGAGCTGCTTCCAGATATCTGCCTCAGGATGTTTTAATGTTAGAATTTAAAATGTGCATCTCTCCAGTGTTTGCCTTCTTAAAATCATAACGGAACAAGTTGCTTGGCAATAATAGCTGAAATGTTACTAGGTAATTGAATGAGGTGGATGGATGAATGGTTGCATCTAGTCAAATAAAGGAAAAACTGAGGCTGAAGGGCATGAAAGAAAGGATTACGGAAACCATGCTGCAGAACTATGCAGCTTTTACTATACATACTATCAGCCTGGATCAGGCAGAGAGGTGACTGGATAGAAACTTACACATGAACTCCACTATCTACTCACCTGTGTCCTAAGGGTGACCATGCTGTTAGAAGGCTTGCGTATTTGGAGAAAAACGGGCTCTTTGTAACTTGGGAAAGAGAAGTTAACAGATCTGTCCATCAATCTTAGGTACCTATATGGTCCCCAGCTCTGTAGTATCTGAGCACCGCAGTCTTTAATGTATTTATCCTCAACACCGCTGTGAGGTAGGAAAGTGCTATTATCTCCATTTTGCAGATGGGGAACTGATGCACAGAGAGATTAAGTGTCTTGCCCATGGTCACACAGGAAGTTGAGCAGGGTATTGAGTCCAGGTCTCTAGCTATCACCCTAACCACAGGAAGCCCCTTGCCCCGAACCACTGTAGCAGCTGAGCACCAAAACACAAACTCAATTTGTTGCCATTTTAAATTGTTTAGCAAGCTGTTTAGCAATTGCTTCCTTGTCATTTCCCGTCAGCACCGTACATTTCCAAAACATTCAGTGATTAAGCATTACATATTGATCTTGTGTAGTCATTTAAAGTGCATCTTATGCTGTTGCTAAGAGATGAAGCAACAACAGGAACATGCTATTCACCAGGGCTTATGTTCTGTTGATAATAAACTCTTATGAAAAGTAACCGGACTCCGCTTACCCTTTGTGTGTGGCCATAATCCGGTGAGTATTTTATTGGCCTGTTTAACATGACTGGAATGCACTTGTAATCTCTTTGACTTTATTGCCTTGTTTTTTTGATGGCAATAGTATTTTAAATGCTGCTAATTGGTTTTACTATAGACTGAAACCTGACCTTGTACTGGGTAAAGAAGAAGATCAGATCTTTTAGTGCAAAAAGTGCCTGTTGGGGGTGCACTGGTACCTTGCGAGGACGTGGCTGTTACATGTGTAGGTCCAAATATCAGGAGATTCTGTGCAAATGATTTGATGCCCTAATGAATAGGCATTCCCTTGTTTTGAATTAAATTCTCTCACCCAAAGATTTCCTCTTAGCCTCCCATTTTCTCTGGCTCCCCACATGCCGACTTCTCTCTTGAATGTTCCCCTTTGTTACTTCAGGCTGCACTGTTGTAATGTGTGGTACGTAACTGTGAAGGCCGCCTTAAAGCTCCAGCTAATACAGAGCATGGCTGCCCATCTGCTGAGTGGGTCAGCGGGTTGTGAGCATGTCACAGTTGTGCTTCTCGCTCTGTCGTGAATGCCTCTAAATGTTTGAGTGAGATTGCTACAGAGACTAAAAGGATGTGGGCTCATGGGCCTGCCTCTCCCTCAGCCAAAGGTGGTGCAGATCCTGGAGAAGCCCCCAATGTCGTATGCCCACTGATGGGGGTGAGTTTGCAGTGATAAAGTATCTGCTACCTTCTCTTCACCAGTGAGGTACACAGGCCTAAAGTAGTAGCCACTGGCTGGGGAGAGAGGCTCACAGGGATTTTTTTAAAACACCATAAAGATTTAACCAGTGTCTGCAGCGTGGCCAAATGGGTCCAGGCCATTCTGTGGATATCAAGCCATTCCCTTCCTCTCCCCTCTATTTCAATGGTGCTGAAATTTATTCAGGAGTCTACCATTCTTATTCCCAAATGAATGAAAAGTCCTGAAAAGGAGGAGAAAATTGCAACCAAATGTGATAATATTGTAGTTTTTAAAATACATCTTGATTCCATTTCCGGCTGAATTCCTTGATAGTTCTTGTAACATAAGAAATATCAGCTGAATTTCTTTCTTGTTTCTTGTACTTTTAGATCTAAAAAACCTAAGAAGCCCACGTCTCCTGCAGCCAAGGAAGACAAGCCCAAGTTAACCATTTTTGACGAGGAAGTAGATCCTGAGGAAGGATTATTTGGCCCAGTAAAAGATTTTTCATCTTCCAGTTCCAAGAAGAACTCGTCAGCCAAAGAGAGTAAATGTGTTCCATTTTCCATTATGCACAGTTAGGTTGTGGTCCCTAAAGCTTCTATAAGGCTCTTGTATCTAAAATGGAACGGTGAGCACATGAAACTTGGGTTTTGACGTAAGAATGTTGGGCCAGACCTTCAGCTGTAAATTAGCTAGAAGTGGAAATAAACATGGCTTGCAGTTGCAATAGCCATACACTGGCTGTTGGACTTTAGATTCTCAGTTGTTATGGATCTGTAGTTGTTGTGTAGCTTATGTTGATGGGTGAGTAGAGCCAGTAGCTCCTGCTAGTGCAATGTATCAAGAATGTATTTCCTAGCACTTTGTGGATTTTTACTTTGGATATGGAAGACTTTTTATAAAAATAAATGTTCTGTAGGACGTTTCCTTTCAGCCACACAGCTTGATTCCCCTGCTAACAGTCATGGTGGTGTTGTAGTTGAAGCTTGACTAAACCTTTCTGATGATTCAATCTTTAGATCTGAAATTATTTGAAGACCCAGACCTCGGTGGGACTGTTAAACTAGGCGACTCTCTACTGCTGCCAACGGCCTGTGAGAACAAGGACTATGTGCTAAGTGCCAGCCTCAAAGAGGACACAGAGGAGCTATTGAGGTATTCATCTAAAACGGGTCCTGTGGTAATGATGTCCACTAGGCATTCTGGAGCAGGAAGCAATTTAGATCCCAAGGCCACAAACTCCAGGGCAAAGCTTAAAAAACATTCTGTGCTGAAAGTGGATTGACATTCATACTAACCAAGACAAGGGCAGACATTTGTTTAAAAGTTTGAAAATCAAACACAAAACATCTTTATTAAAGCTTAACAATAATGGGCACTGACAAACGGTAGCACCTTTACTTTTTCAAGGTGCTTTACAAATAATCCTCAGGAGGGTAGATGGGTAGGTCAGCTCTCCATTTCCCAAATGTGGAAATGAAGGCAGAGGAGTATCTTGTCCAAGGGCAAAGATGAACTCTGTTTCAGAACTGAGATTATAATTTAGGCGCTCAATGCTCGGACACTGCGCAAGCCACTAGACTGGGCTGCCTCTTTATTTAAACTGTGTCTCTTATGACATGTATTTATATTTTAATCAGAACTATGCAAGATCTGGATTATGAGTAGAGACCAAAAATTCTGATGTGTGGTGTTAATCCCTTGGAGCTGGTAGTTTTGCAACCTCTATTGTTTATACAAAATGCCTTAGTACTAACATATCACAGCAGAAATACCTGGCTTAATTTATGCAGAGGTTAAGTTAGGTTATATGCCATCTCCTCTTACACTTTGGGGGCACATCTGATATTTACAAGACATGATGTGGCAAGACATAACTCGATTTACTGAGGTGGCATGTTGGGAGTGAACACGCACATTCACAGCTTTTCATGTCTGCTTTATCCTGTGCTAATAATCTAGGCATAAAACGCTTCACCCAAATTGTTCATATAACTAGAACAAAAGTGCCTTATTTAGTACAATTCCCCCATTAGCCATGAAAGCAGTGGAAAGAGCCTGACCATTTGTCATATTAATGCATTTCAAATTATGCAGTCTTCCCTGCTCAGTCACAGTGAAAGAGGCCCACTCTTTGACTGGCAGATCATGCTATTATATAGATTTGGTGTTGAAGAAGATAGCGACAGTTGATCAATTGCCAGAGCTGGTGATAATGAAAAAAGAGGGAGAAGATACTAATTCTTTAAGTTATGACTGATTTTTTCCCCCTGAATTGTCACCGTGCCAGTATCAATGCCTTCAGCAGCTGGCAATGCCAACATTCAGTTGGAAACAAGTAGGTGTAGCCCAGCAGAAAATCAAGTGTGTGACCCTACTGGAAAATGGCACGGGAATCATTCTTGCTCTAGAGACAAATCTTATCCCTGGTAGGGATGTAGAAAGATCGTGCCCTATGGACATAGCAGAGAGTAGGTAAACTGAACTGAGAGAAATAGCAGGAGTAAGGAAGAGCTATTGGAGGACAAGAAATAATGAAGGATGGAAATTAGCAGAGGTCCTGAAAAACATAGAACATGGGGAGAAAGAAATGTTGGAGTCTGATTATGGACATGATGGGAAGCAAAATAGAACGGGGACTATGTGAGGTGACAGATGAGCTCCTGCTGGCTTAACCTAGTGGAATTCTTCTTTTCACCCCAAAGAGAATTTACCTGTGAACCCTGAAGCCTTGCAGCTTAACTTTCACAAGTAGTCACTGATTCTGGGTACCTCAATTTTTGATGCTGAACTAGTGACACTTGTGGCCTGCTTTCCAGAAGCACAGATTATCTACAGCTCCCACTGCACCTCATGGCACTTCTGAAAATCCAGCCCCAGGTTGTCTCAAGTTGGGCGCCCAAAACTGCGGCCCCTAACAGCAGTGGGATTTTTTTTTCTTTTTTTGGGGCAAAGTTTGTCTTATTGTTCAAGGAACTGATATTTGTGTAAGGATCTAATGAAGGGTGAAATACTGAATTATTTAAACAGCAAAGTCCAGAGACCACTCAGTGCACAAGCGGTTTAAACTTAATCCCCATCCCACCCCATTAGTTCCAGGATTCCAATCAGCCCATCCAGATACATCAACAAGCATTGCGTCCCAGCTACTGCGAACCTTGCTGGAGCTGGCATACTGGGGTAGGGACAGAGGAGACCAGACAGGGATCTTTAATATATCTCTCTCCAAATCCATGTGGGATATAAAATATTTTTTAAAGGGACTTTCCTGAGCCTTCCCCCAAATCATTGTTCCCCAGTGGGGATAGGGGAGTCTCTGTGACATCACAACCCGGAGCATCACTTTGGAAAAAGAAACTCCACAGGGTGGGATATGAAATAGTGGGAAGTACGGTAGAGAAGCAAAGGGGAGGAGAGTTTAAAAACCACATGAGGTGAACAGCTCTTTTATCCTTGTTGTTTAGTGCATGCAGCACACAAAATACACTTAATACTGATCTGCAAGTCACCTTTGAAAAAGACATAGTTGTCTCATCATATTATATATACGTGAAGCCCTTTTGAAAACCCATTTTACAGAGCTTAAATGCAGGGCCTAAAACCATCTATGAGTGCCCCTTGAAATGAAAAATGGAGCAGAGGAAGCCTGAAATCAAGTCAGCACCATAACCTAAGTGAAGTCCTGAAGTCAAGATCCTTGCAAATAGCTTGCCTTAGATCAAACAGATGCATTTAGTGTTGGATAGTATGATTAAGGGATATACTGTACTAAGCATAAGCATAAGTGAAGTATGACTGTATTCTAAAACCTGTGAATACAAACAAAATGTCCTGATTTCCCCCCTCTAGTAGTAACCACTAACTGAGATTATGTGGAGAGCGGCTCACACATGCATGCCCAGTGGTGGAGTACTCAAGACCATGCCAGTACATGCCCACTTATCTGAGATTAGATTTTAGCCCTAAATTGACTTGTTATACAGTCTTGGGGTCTGTCTTCTTGAAAACACCAAGGGATTTATCCACACAACTTTCCCATGAATCAAGAGAACAGCAGATCCCTTGTTTTATGCTTTATTACATTAGGTGAGTAAACCCAATGCCCTCTATATATGTATGTAACTAAATGGACTCCACTGGGAAACCCCCTTTGAGGTTTCTACTACCTGCAGATGCTTTCCCACAAGGATTGTGTGTCATAGTCAGATTATTGTTAATATGGAAAATTGTTATGATTTAAAGAGATTAATAGCTCCCATCCCACTGGGGGCTTTGGTCCCAGAGGGCAGCTGCTGCTTTCTCCTCCTGTGTAGCAGTAGCTCCTAGTAAAAGTCGGTAGATTGGCTCCTCCTCCTCCTCCTTCCATTCACTTTCACAGGCCTCTAACATAGGGGTGGGCAAACTTTTTGGCCCAAGGGCACATCTGGAAATAGAAATTGTATGGCGGGCCATGAATGCTCACAAAATTGGGGTTGGGGTGCAGGAGGGGGTGAGGGCTCTCTGGTTGGGGGTGCAGGCTCTAGGATGGGGCCAGAAATGAGGAGTTCAGGGTGCGGGAGGGGGCTCCGGGCTGGGGAGTGGGGTGCAGGGAGGGGATGAAGGCTCTGGCTGCGAGTGCGGGCTCTGGGGTGAGGGTGAGGATGAGGCGTTTGTGGAGTAGGAGGGTGCTCCGGGCTGGGATCGAGGGTTTGGAGGGCGTAAGGGGGATCAGGGCTGGGGCAGTGGGTTTGTGTGCGGGAAGGGGTGCAGGCTCTGGCTGGGAGTGTGGGCTCAGGGATGGGGCTGGGGATGAGGGGTTTGGGGTACAGGAGGGTGCTCCAGGCTGGGATCGAGGGGTTTGGAGGGCATAAGGGGGATCAGGGCTGGGGCAGGGGGTTGGGGCATGGGGAGAGGCTCAGGGATGCAGGTTCCGGGCGGCACTTACGTCAAGTGGCTCTTGGAAGCAGCGGCCATGTCCCTCCTACAGCTCCTACGTGGAGCCACGGCCAGGCGGCTCTGCACGCTGCCCCATCGGCAGGTGCTGCCCCTGCAGCTCCCATTGGCCTCAGTTCCCAGTCAATAGGAGCTGCGGGGGTGGCGCTTGGGGCAGGGGCAGTGTGCAGAGCGGAGCCCCCTGGCTGAGCTGGAGCAGGGCCATGCCGCTGCTTCTGGGAGCCATGTGGAGCAGCCCCCGACCCTGCTCCCCGGCTGGAGCGGGGCAGGCCCCAGATCCCACTCCCCAGCGGGAGCTTGAGGGCTGTATTAAAACGGCTGCCGGGCCGGATCCGCTGTAGTTTGCCCACCCCTGATTTGAGATAATTTTCCACACACCACAAGGCTTTTGCTTTGCCACAAAATCCGCCTGTCCACTCCAAAACAGCTCCTCCCTACCATGCATATGTGTTGCTCTTATTAAGGACCTCCTCTGAGGTCAGCTTTCCTGGACTCTTAGCAAGTGTGTGTGGTGGTGATGGGGAACCTGGATGAGGTACCCCCCCCGGGTTCTGGCACTGTGGCTTCATTCACTCTTTCCTGCCCTCCGGGGCTTCCAAGTGCACTGAAGGCCTGAAACCTCATAACCCCAGGGTCCTGCAGGGCAACTCACTCTGGGTAGCCCCAGAATGTATAGGAGGCAATGGCAGATGAAAGTCAATGCTGATAAATGCAAAGTAATGCACATTGGAAAACATAATCCCAACTATACATATAAAACGATGGGGTCTAAATTAGCTGTTACCACTCAGAGAGATCTTGGAGTCATTGTGGATAGTTCTCTGAAAACATCCCCTCAATGTGCAGCGGCAGTCAAAAAAGCGAACAGAATGTTGGGAATCATTAAGAAAGGGATAGATAATAAGACAGAAAATTTCATATTGCCTCTATATTAGGGCTGGCAATTAATCGCAGTTAACTCACGTGATTAACTCAAAAAAATTAATCGCAATTAATCGCACTGTTAAACAATAGAATATCAATTGAAATTGATTAAATATTTTTGGATGTTTTTCTACATTTTCAAATATATTAATTTCTATTACAACACAATACAAAGTGTACAGTGCTCACTTTGTTTTTATTACTAATATTTGCACTGTAAAAATGATAAACAAAAGAAATCGTATTTTTCAATTCATCTCATACAAGTACTGTAGTGCAATCTCTTTATCATGAAAGTG